GTAGTGGGACAGGCTGAGCTGATGGCAGTATTGTCAATAAGAATGGAAGCCCCTTAGGGAGAGGGTAGGTAAGAAGCACTAGCATCCAGGACAGAAGGAGCAGCCCACCCAGTCACCCTCTTGCTGAGGCAAGTGCCTCGTCCCAGATCCAATCTAACAGAAGTCATTGGAAGAGTTTGGTGAATTTTCCCCTATAAAATTGTAGCTTAGAGATGAGCAGTATTTAGTTTAAAGGAAACTTATCAAACTTAAGACCAACCAGGAATTTCTAAAAATTAACAATGACTTAGAAATTATCAGAATGATTTCATGAATATTGTGCCTTATAAGTTATATTACAAAGCAATGTCATCATAAAGCCTAGTTAGAAGATAGAAAGGAAGTCTTTAAATTTTAATTTTTATACTGATTGCTAAAAATATATTCCATTTATTTATAAAGTGTCTGCAGCTATACAGGTTGCTAAATAAACTTCTCATCATCTTCAAACTGGGGAATGTGGAGCCGAGGGGGAATGGGATTCAGCTGGTATGATTAGAGATGGCCCCCTACCATCACACCCCGTTCCAGGTTGGTGGAGTTGGTAAAATATGGGTTTCCTTTGATTTACAAATGAAATGAGGTTTACCGTTTGTTCCTGAGGATGGACCTACTAAAACTAGTCAAGAATTCTTAGCCATTACTGCTCTCAAACTTCCTGAACCTTCCAGGAGACATCTGCTCTGAAGCTGTAAGATGCAAATTGTGCAAAAGAAATGGCTGTTAGGTTTTTAGTAACATTGCCAAAATGGTGATAACCAGAAATCCAGTCACTCAATAAATGGTTATGAAGCACCTAAAATTCTGTCATTTGAGAAGCATTTTCCAAGTTTTCTTTGGAATCCAATCACTTTAGATACTTAGTTTTTAAAAAAATAGTTCTGGGTCTGGGGCTGGGGTTGTGGCTCTGTGGTAGAGCGCTCGCCTAGCCTGTGTGAGGCCCTGTGTTCGATTCTCAGCACCACATAAAAATAAAGGTATTGTATCCAGCTACAACTAAAAAACAAAATTAAAAAAAATAGTTTTAGCTCTAGGGGTGCAGCTCAGTTGTAGAATACATGCCTAGCATGCAAAAGACCCTGGATTCAATGCCCAGCTACACACACACCACACACACGCACCACACACACACAAGTTCAGTGGTCAAATAAGTTTGGCAAACACTTCAGCTTTTAAAGATTTATAATGTACTTGCACTTTTAAATGTAATTGTCTAGATTCAAAACTTGGGCTTCTCTTCACTTTTGCAATTATTTGACCAAGCCTTCATTCCTCTATTACTGTAGGTAATTCAATAACTTTTTCTTAAGGACACCTCATCTCTCAAGTTGATCAGGAACTCTGGGAAATTTACTAAAGGGGGAGTCTTGTTTCAATGTTCCATGTAGAAAGAACAGATCAGTCATTAACAGGTTCTGGTTTGGTTGCTGTTTTTGTGGTGCTGGGGATTGAATCCAGGGTCTTGTGCTAAGCAGGCACTCTACCACTGAACTACATCTCCAGCCCACAGGTTCTGGTTTTAATCATCACCTCTACAGGAGATCACTGTTGTAAACTGGTTCTGACAGGCTCCAGTGAGTCCTTGTCCTACTTTAAGGACATCCTTGCTCCTGCAGAACCCTGTGCAGGCAGCAGGGTAGCACTGTGCTCATGGACATCCAAGATGACAGCTTACTGGACTCACACAATCAGCTACTATTGCCCAAACATAACTGCTTGCCAAGGTGGCCAGGTATAATTGGGTTTCAAACCACAGCCACACATAGTACCTAGGACAAGCTGTTCCCTACAAACCTCTAGGCCTGGCATTGAGCCTGTCACTGAGCCAGGCTTCCTCTTTCTTCTTGGGGGCGCTGGGTCAGGACTACCTTAGCCCTTCAGAAAATTCCAATTAGGTTGAATTTCAAATAGAAATAGGATATGGTCTTGATCCCTTTCCTCCTGAAAGATCCTTGGCCTAGGTAAGGTTAATCTGGCATATCAGGGAATACGGGAAAGAACAACCTTAATAAAGCTACAAAATGTTCTTTACCTAGAGACAAAAATCTCCACTCACCTTATATTGGTATGAATAAGAGTATTTAGGAAATACACAAAGAAAATACACAGTCAAAGAAAATACACAGTCAACTGCAACAAAAAGACAATACAAAGGCCCAATATCTTCATCTATTTTTGTGCTTCTCCAGCTTAAGAAAAAAAGAGTGTCAAATCACTACAAGTGTTATTACAAGTGTTTCTGGGAAGTTAGGACACTTTAAATTCATTGTTTTAGTTTTGCCCAGATTGTTTGATTTGTTCTTATTTTGAAAGATAAATAAACTCTGGAAGGATAATGAGCATAGTGCTAATAAATTGTTATGGGAATGAGAGAGAGAGAGAGAGAGAGAGAGAGAAGGCTTGGGGAAGGGAGAGAACATGCAAATACAGAGAGGTTCTATGATATTGAGGGCAAATAAGCATCTGAAGTTCCCCCTGTCACATGGGGCAATAAAAGATGAGGCAGAAGGGAGAATTCTCATTATAATTTTGTATAATAAGAGAGACATAGTGTATCTAAGAAGCTCCCATTTAATGAATCATAAGGTCTAATCTACTTCAGAGAGAATTAGACCCTCAGGAATTCTCTCCTGAATTTCTTCTTCTTTTTTTAAACTATCAAAGAAAATACACAGTAGTAATAACAACAACAAAAATTTGTTATACATGACAGCAAAATGCATTTCAATTCATAGTACACACATAGAGCACAATTTTTCATGTCTCTGGTTGTACACAAAGTAGAGTCACACCATTCATGTCTTCATACCTGTACTTAGGGTAATGATGTCCATCTCATTCCACCATCTTTCCTACCCCCCATGTCCCCTCCCTTCCCCTTCCTCCCTTTTGCCCTATCTAAAGTTCCTCCATTACTCCCATTATGAATCAGCATTCATATATCAGAGAAAACACTGGGCCTTTGGTTTTCTGGGATTGGCTTACTTCACTTAACATGATATTCTCCCACTCCATCCCATTACCTGCAAATGCCACTCTTTTAATGCTGAGTAATATTCCATTGTGTATATGTACCACAGTTTCTTTATCCATTCATCTGTTGAAGGGCATCTAGGTTGCTGAACTTCATTTTCAGTGATACTATAATATCATTCATGGTACATAATAGACACTCAATAAATAATTACTGAATGAATAATTTTCAAGAACCTATCCTCTACCCAAGAATTTCATCCATTTACTCATGTATTCATTGACTTGTTGTCATTTATTATATTGAGTGCTTGGCACTATAATTTTATTCCTAGATTTATAACCACTTAGGAACTCTGGCTAAAGTACAGACATTCTGGCAATTTCACATATCTGACTTTATAGATAACTCTGTTCAACTTCTTTAAGTTTATGTGTCTAGGTAAGAATCACATCAAGCCAAGATTAGCAGAAAATAGATTGCGGAGACATAATAAGAGGGGGATGGCTATATGGTTTGAAGAGAGCATGTGCAGTTAATTCACACTCAAATTATGGACCACAACTTTTAAAAATAGTATTATCTTATACTTTTCAATCTCTTCTTCTACTTCTTTTACTATTTACTACTTATAGGCAGATAAACAAAGATAGTTTTGTCTTAGGCTTCACTATTTACCCACTGTGTGATCCTAGCCAAGGTACCTAATTCTTTTGAACCTCAGTTTCCCATCTGAAAACTACCTCAGAAAATAAGTCCCTCAGATTAAATAAGACAACATTTATAAAATGTTTAGTATGCTTGGCAATGTCAGCAAATGTTATTCCCACTAGTTTCATTACTATTATTTACTACTATTATTAACCAATCTGATGCTTGTCTATAAAACAACTTTGGGAAGATTAGGGCAATAACTCAGGACCTACAATAGAACATCCTTTGGCATACTCAGTCATTCTTTCCATTTTTCAAGGTTTATTAAGTAAGTAGTATTGTTTCCAACAAAACACAAACTTATTTTGGGGGTCTGGGCTCTGATTCTATGCACTGCTAGTCTGACACTCTTACAGCCTCTCAGAACACAAATAGGTTCTTTTCAAATTTCTCCCTCCCCCCCCCACATTTTTTTTTTGCCTCTTTTCCCACAAAAGTTTACTTCCATGCTAATATTCTCATTCATTCTAAATATAGAAGGGGCTCCTAAAACTTAACAATTTTCCTTGACACACTTCTTTCTTGATGTTCATTTTTCTGACTTTATTTTCACTATATTTAAAGATCATGTTACTCACAGTGTTCATGACCTTTATATATAAATGGAAAAAATCCATTGCTCCCAGTGGGAGCCTTATTCTCTCTCCCTGGTAAAAGAGAGCTTGTCCTCATTTTTCTGTCTAAAGGCATCAAGAAGACAGTCCCTGTTATCCCCATGATAGCCAGGGCTGCCCACCTGGGAGCCCTGGTAGTTCTAAAGTACATCAGACCATTGAAATTGCATTCTAATACAAATGCTTCTGGAAAAAATTTCTCTTCCTGCAGTTGTAGCATTAGCTCAACATCTTACCTTTCCTATTTAGTAATTCTGCTTTCCCCTCCAGGGCCTCACTGGAGACTCCTCAGTGCACTCTGTTTTCATAAGCTTCACTTCTGTGGCATAAAACTAAGTTTGGGTAATAGAGGTTATATTGTTCAACCCAGTTGCAAAAACCATTCTAAGCACAAATGTTCCAGGTTCAGTTGAAATCTTAAGGGAACCTTTTAAATAGTTTCAATCAAAAAGAAATCTCTTTTACAGAGTTCAAAAATAATTAAGTTAATAAAACAGCTTATTTATTTTTAACTGATGAAAGATTATAGGGTAGTTTTAAAAGATGATTTTGTCTGTAATTTGTAATATTTCAACAAACATATTGAGAATTAGTTTCCAATTGGTGTAATTACTTTAAAACTCCTTTTATGGAGGATACGTGCATAAAATAAGTTCTACCTCTCTCCTGGGAGGATCTGAACTGTGAAGGCTGAACCCAGCAGCTGCTTCCCCCCTGCACCTCCAGTTTCAGTGATTCCAGAAGGATGTAAGCCTGAGGGAAATAAGAGAAAGGGGTCAATTATAGAACAGAGAAGCAGCAGATTCTAAATCAGGGCAAACGCATGAGCTCCCAGGTGAAAATCAGAGGGAGAGCTTATGTGTGCTTCCATTTTTTTTTTCACAAGTTTAAAATTTCTGATGTCTGAAATTATTTATATCTAAGATGTCTCCTGAGACTTCATCTGGTTAGAAGGATTTTGATGATTTTTTCTTTTTTTGGAAACACTAATTAGATCACTTTTAAAATTTAATAACAGTGCTTCAAACACAATTGTTTAAGTTCATATAAAATGTTTACTCATGAATTGGTCTGTCATTAATTTGTAAGGATTTACTATTTTTAACAAAACTAGATTGGATCTAAAAGTGATAACAGGTATCTATATAAATAAAACATCCAGATAGGACACACACACATATATATTTTCTAGAAATCTGGACAGGATATTTAGATGGCCTTACTTAAAACATGCTAGATGTCACTTAAGATGTTCACTTTGGGGAGTTTCTAAGGCTTTCTTCATGAGACAGGTGGTCTCTAGAGCAGGGTTCAACAAGAAGTTTGAGTAATAGCCTATTAGGAGAGAAAGCAAAAAAAAAAAAAAAAAGAATCCTTAATTCTCTGTAAACAAGACAACAAATAGTGATTTCAGATTTGAGCCCCAAATTAGAAGTTACAAGGACAGATATTCCAGTTGTAGTTCTTGGTTTGCAATTCACTTGCTTCTCAAAATGGACAACTCTGTAATGGACATCAGGATGAATAACATCAAGCCTTTTAAATTTAACAATGTTTAATAGTTCTCCCCAGATATAATGGAAAGTCAAGCTAAGAATAAATGTTTGACAGCACAACAAGGGACTAGGCAGTCAGGATTTAAATGTGTTTCTTGGGGGATCACTTTTCTAAGTGACTAAGAATCTATTCCAGACTATTAGCCCATAGGCAGAGCATCTGTGTACCACTTGAAGCCAGCATGCAGGACGCACAAAGCCAAGCACATGTATGTATGTATGTATGGATTTGAACATTTTTGCTGAATATAAAAATGTGAATTCAGATACAAGGAGACAAAGTGAGCACAACAGGGAAATTAAAAAAAGAGACACACAGGAATTTCAGAGTAAAACAAAGACGAAAGAGAGGATCCACCCACAAGGAATATCAATTTGCCTTGGCATCATACTTAATGTCTAGATCTACTTAAGATAAATAAAATAGATAGCTCTTAAGATGGAATGAAGGCCAGTTTCCATTTCCTTTCTCATACCCACATATTTCTACACACTTAAGTCATAAAAGCAAGTTAATACCCTCTATGACATAATATTGACTTAGTAGGATCACAGGATATTTGTTTATTAAAATGCGAATGAAATGTACAGTCAATTGCACGCATGCTTCTCATTTTCTTTCTTGAAGTCCATGCCACTTGCCTTAGCTTCAATTAAATGGAGATGGGGCAAAGATCTGATCTCTCTCAGGGCTCACAGTAAGAGCATGGTAAATTTCAAGGGTCACAGCTATCATTTAGTTGAATAACTCCACTAGTTACTTAAGTGGAATTACTTGGTATTTAGTTGATTAGTTAATGAACCTCAATTCTCTAGAAAAGATTTTGTTTTCCTGATCTCTAGGTCCATTTAGCCAGCTGCCCAGTAAACACTCCCAATTGCATCAAGGGCTCCTTAAACTCAACATTCACCATTCACCAACCAATTCATTTATATCTTCCCACTCCTGCTAAGGAAAAACTTTTAGATTATTTTTCCTGTTTGAATAACAGATCTTCCTTTTATATTCTTTATTAATTTTTTTAAAATTTTAATTTTTTTTGTTATATATGACAGCAGAATATATTACAATTCATATCACACATATAGAGCACAATTTTTCACATCTCTGGTTAGGAAAAAAAATTCCAAATGATTAGCACAGCAAATGAGACACATCATTTACTTGCTTCTTTCTCTAACTTCATCTCCTACATTTCTAATTCCAACAACATGAATCTACCTGTAATGCCCAAGTTGTCACCTTCTTCTTCACCTTCAATGCTTTGGTTAATTTAACCTGGGATGCCCTTTCCTTCATTCTCTGTCTAGATAATTCCTATTCTGTCACAATATTTTCTAGTTCCCAGAAGACTATTCCTAATTGAATTTTTAAAAACTGATGCTAAAAAATAGTTAAACAGATGCTAGAGTTCCAGGATTGTTTGCTCAAAACAGAATGAAATTCCTTTTGTGTCTTAATTCCTGAGACACAGAATAGATTTCATTTTTAGTTTCTTAGTTTTGCTTTCCATTGACTGCTAATAAGACTTGAGTGAGAGGTTGAAGGGATGAAATAGGGTGGAATATAAATTGGAATATATCTTTTGCAAAAATGTTATATCTAGATGGTATGAGAAACTTGATCAAATAAACAAACAACAACAACACACACACACACACACACACATATACACACAGAAACTGTGAAAGGAGAAGAGATGCTTAGCCATCTTCCTAAGTAATGCTAACCATTCCCCTCCTGTTCTTCTCTCTTCCTTTCTACCCTCCCTCCCCCCACATACACATGTAACCTTTTCTTAAGGTAAAAATCTGTGTGTTCTTTTAAATCCCTCGGGTTTCATATTTTATTGCTCAAAAAGTCTGCCTCCCTGAGGTTCTTGTATGGACTAGTTATTTCCTTCTGTGAAGAAGCTGTTTAGTTCGTTCTTGCCTGGTTTGGAAGAACCCAAGGGAGGCAGTTCTTGCAGTCCTGTCTCCTTCCATTCCCCTCCTCCCCTCAGTCCTGGCTGGAGCAGTGAGTCTGTCAGTTCCAGGCAGGAGACAAGGCAGACAAAGGTTCATTTGTAAAGAACCTCTTTCCAGCACCTCCTCTCTTCTCCGTTTGCCCAAACTCACCCAGTCAGTTTGAGCATTTAAGAAGATTCTTCTGCCAACGAAACCAAAAGGAAAGAAGAAAAAGGTATGTAATTTTTTATCCTCTGTAGAAAGCATTTTATATCATTTATTTTGCTCCAAATTGTTGTTATAGATTAGAACAGAAATGTATGCATGTGTTGAGTCAGGAAGGAAAGACAGTGAGACAGAGATGCTCTAAGGAGATGGTGTCTGCACTTTGAAAAAAATGATGCTTCCTGGGATAAAAGTAAAGAACCAGATCAAAAGATGATAGAAAACATATATTCCTTAACTGGGAAAGCCATTTAATCATGGTTTAAGAAGAGGCAGGCTTCATTCTTATTCATTTAATGCACAAATCCTCTCTGAATCTTATCCCATACAACAGAACTTATGCTACTCCTCAGAATTATGAGGGCATGGTTAAATATATGATTGTTTTAATGCAATAGTTACATTGCTCCAATACCTACTCTACATGAAGCTAACTTCCATGTCTAATAAAGCATGTTTTTTTCTTTTAAAAACCCTTATTCCTGAAAAGAAACTGGTGTTAACATTTGATACAAAGAGGGAATTCATTGAATTCATCCTTGGTGTTCCCACCATGGAACACAACACAGTGTCTGTACTGCTAAGATAAAGGGAACACTTTTTCCTTTGGGGACTTAGAAAAATTCCTTAGCTTAGTTACCTGGGCTGTGAAAAGCTCTCCCCAGTTTTGGTCCTTTCCTTCTATGATGATGACTTATTGTGGCCAGGAAAACAATTAGAATGGTGCAAGACTAGATATTAATATCATCTTCTTGCTTGCTCTGAGAGGCCTGAAGGCATATCTCCATCAGGGAGGATGCAGACTTCATTTTTCCACAGATGAAGGAATCTTAGGTAATCAGGCCACTGCCTGTTATAGGAATCTTTGAAAGATTTATCCACTTTCTAATGGCACTTCTGTTCCTTGACGTACACTTTGAGAAATTTCACTTCAGGACTTGGTCACCCTAGTACAAACTTCTTCCAAGACAGTTAATAAGAAAAAGAGAGAACTTTAAAAATAACAGTGATTTTCATTATCCAAAAGAAATGAATGAGAAATATCAGAGCCTGAGCAATTTTAATCTCTTCCATCTATAATTTTGATATTTCAAATGTCAATTTCTAGGCTGAAGTTTTCATTTATTTTTGTGGTTTTGTTTCACTCTTGCTGCTTTTTGAGAGAAATCTGAAAATGGACTGCTCTTTCTGTGTAATTCATCAACTTTGTTTCATTCCACTGCTCTTAATACCAGTTCCCAGAACTGACATCAGCTGCCTGTATGAGCATTGCACCATAAATGTCTGAATACATAAACTGCATAGCCCTGTTGGTTTTGGCCATTTAATGAGACAATTTTTCTTTTTAAGTCTCCATTTAACTCCAGCCATTCAAAAGCTTGCTGGTGCCAAATACGCTTCCAGAATAAAAATTTGCAATTCCCTCCCAAATGATGGTGGCAAAGATTTATTGCTTAATTGGAAATGTCTTACTCATAACTCTGTATCCTCTGCATTGACTTTTTTTAAATCATATCAATACTGGGATATGAATGGTATCATACAATATTGGGAACAATGTTAATTACACAAAATTGAATTTTAAAAAAGTGAAGTATAATCAATTAAGGCTCTCTTTCTATTCCTTCAGAGTTTCTGTTTTTTTTTTTTAATATTTATCTTTTTTTAGTTTTCAGCGGACACAACATCTTTGTTTGTATGTGGTGCTGAGGATCGAACCCAGGCCGCACGCATGCCAGGCGAGCGCGCTACCACTTGAGCCACATCCCCAGCCCCAGAGTTTCTGTTTTTAACTTTGTTTTCTTTTGTAATTTGGAGGCACTCCAGGAGAAATTTTAAATGCATGTACTTCAATTGGAAGAGAAAAAATTAGAGTAAATTTACTTCAAATCGGCCAAAATCATTTTACTCTGGTTAGCACTTGAAAATATATGGTTTTGATGGATTAACAAGGATTGAGGTTGGTGTCTTTTAATGAAGAAAACAACCAATGCATCCCAGGAACCCACTGGCTCAGTCATTTTTCCATTTGCTAAATACAAGTTAAAGCTATTTATCTGTACTTAGGTAAAGGAAGAAAAGAAGGCTTCAGTTAAAAGGTGTAATTTATAAAGTGTTAAAAAAAAAAACTACCATAAATGCTTGCCAGGTGTGGAACTTTCCATCGTTGTATGTGACTGAGACTGGCAGAAATACTAACTACTTTGTGCTCTGGCATGGACATGAGCTAAATGGTATGGTTACATCCTGTTTTCCCAGAAATTTATTTATTCATTCCTTCAGTGAATGTTCTCAAATACTTACACTGAAACAGGTGCTCTGAGAGATTGAAAAAAAAAAAAGTTACAGTCTCACCTTCATGATGCTGGCATCTCCTCTTCTAATCCTCTGAACATTGAACCACCCCAGGCCTCCATGTTCTGCCTTCACTCCTCTAGGTCTCTATTTACTACTTTCCCAGACCCATAGCTACAAATACAATTAATAAATATCTTGATTACTCTCAAATTTGTATTTCCAGCCCTGACCTTCAGACTCATATTCGGATGCCAAGTTACTCAACGTCTTTACTTGGGTGTGTAACCGGCACCTCAAACTTAACTATCC